TTGCTCGGCTAGGAAAGGCACTTTGGAAATGGGGAGAAAATCACAGGGATGATTTCGAAGAGCCACCCAGATGCCACAGACAGACGTGGCTGGGTGTGCGGAGATGCTGGTGGGCTGGGAAGGGTCTTGATGAAAGCAACTTACATGAAGGAACACAGGCATGGCCTGGCCCCCAAGGTACCATGTGGACACGCAGACATGGCCTGTCAGCATTTAAATGTGGTTGCTACTGGCCTGCAGGCAGGTGACCGGAAGGGAGTAGGGCTTCCCACATGGCCTGAGGTGAAGGCCAGGAGGCCCAGCCCAAGCCCTGCTCTCATTCTTTTGTCTGTTTAATAGGTTGAGGAACACCATTGGTAACTGGACTTCCAAGGACAGGTTTTATTGGCCAACACGAGGCATGTGGAAACATCTTTAAGGAAAAGCAGGCCTTTTGTACTGTGGTAAAATGGAAAGTGGAGAAAACTCTGTCACAGGGTGTGAGAGACCTCCTATGGGCCTCTGCCCGAGGCCATGCCCAGATCAGTTTTGAGGTGTCACCCCAGGGTGCCTCATGCAGACATCCTGCACAGCCTGAGGGAGATCTGGGGATGGGCTGGACCTTGGCAGACTGTAGTTTCCACCCAAGCCCAGTTCCTCAGGGTCCATCCAGGCTCCTCTTCATGGCTGGCAAGACTGCACGTAGTGATGCACCACAGTTTGCTTCTCTGTCCCTTCATCTGTCAATACATTTGGGGTCTTTCTAGTTTGGGGCTGTTATGAATAAAGCTGCTATGATCATCCATGCAAAGGAAAAGAAGCCACTCCCAGAACATTAAGGTCCCTAAGTTAACAGCAAAGGGACTGGCCATGAGAATGCACACACCCTTCTGGTAAAGCACAACCGTGGATCTACACAGAGGCTCCTCCTCATCGAGCACCTGCCTGTCATTGCGGGAGAGCTGCAGGGACGCCGCTGTGCCCACTCTGCAGCCCACCCTGGGATGGTCAGGGAGATCAGCTTAAGTGCTTCCAGCAAGGGGGCCGCACAGCTGTTGGAAGACAGCAGTGCTCCTGCACACCTGGGTCCCGTGGCGCAGCCAGCCACCGACACCAAGTCAGGTCTGAGGAGGGACATGACAAGGACTATCTGGGACTTTGCAAACATGAAGCATCTTCTCCAGGCTGGGCGTCAGAGTGGGGCCCCTGTTTTTGATGATGCTGCGGGGAGTCTGAGACTGGTCAGGTCTGTGGTGATTTGCTAACGTCCTCAGATCCTGTTGTACAAAACCTCGGGCCCCATGGTGGGCCGAGAGGAGAGCCACGCTGGTTCAGACACCAGCGTTTCTAATACAGTTGGTGCCACTGTGGTTCCAGGTGGCTCAGCTGAATGGACAAAAGTCCTGGCCACCAGTCTTTCCCTATAACATCCATAAAGCCTGGCTGGCCTCAGAACATGCTTGCCTATCCACAAGACCCCATGAGACACACAGGGCCTGCAGGGCTGTCACAGCCCAATTTGGCCCCCATAAGTAGAGATTTGGCCACAAGACGTCCCCGGACACTGCTCACTAGCATGTGACCCCAGTGGGACAGCCCAGAGCCCAGTGCACGGTCAGTTGCCTGTGATCCTCTATGTACCTCTGCTGGTGCCTTTAACAGGAAGGTGAGGGCCAGGTATGGACGCCGGGTCTGCGTCTGCCAACACCTCCTCTCTACCATCTCCAGGGGCAAGACACAGGCAGTCAACACACACAGCACACCTCAGACATTCTGGAAGTATCTCTGGCTTTAATAAACCTCATGCTGACTTGCACTACCCTGTCCCTTTGTCTGGAACACACACCTCCATGGCTGTTTTTGTAAATATGGTGATTCTGCCAAGAGACAGAGTCCCCAAGATTCCTGATGAGCTGATGACACAGGCATATACAAGGGGCGGGGACACCATTTCCTTGGCCATTGGGTTCACAGCCTCTTGAGGTTGTACCAGCTCCAGGCCTGATGCCTCAGGGCCAGAGCTGAGGCAGGGTGGACAGCACCCCCACACAGGCTTCCCAGCCATGGCAGTGGTTTCTGGCAGGGCTGCCTGAAGGGCATGCAGGGTAACTGAAGGGGCTCGCCTCTCTCTTCCCCTGCTGTACAGGCATGCCCCTCCCTCCCGGCAACTGCCTGCAGCGCAGCCCATTCCCAAAAGTGCTGGTGAGGGTGGGATGTTGACACCACTCTGTGCGTTCACAGCTTTGCTTTAGCAAGGAGGCTAGGTGCGTTCCGAGACTTATCCAACAATCCTTTGCTGTTTAGCATCAGCCTGTGGCAGCCTGGCCGTGGGCAGGATTAGCAAAGGTTCATTTTTCAGAATGACCACCCACAACCCAGTGTCCCACTGCCTGTGGTCATGTCACCAGATGGGTGCCTCTTGCAGAGAGAAAGAGAAGGGAGGTGAGCAGCAGCACTGAGCAGCCCACGGCTGCTGTTCTAGAACGTCCTTGGTATGTGGGAGTCATGGCAGGGCTGTGGCTCAGCCAACCTCCATGGTCTCTGACCTGACAGCCTCCCTGTGAGGAGCACCCTGAATGTGGCTCACTCGGCAGTTCCCCTCATGTCTGGTGAGGTTCAAGTGCCTGCAGCCTAAACAGAGCCTCTCCTTCGGACATTCATGATGTGGAAATCCCTCTAGATGGGTCCCCCAACATCTGGTAGCCTGGCCACAGGACACTCTGGGGCCAGCGTGGTCCCTCCCAAAGGTGCCGGAGGACACTCTCCAGCACCTCTGTCCAACAGGGCCCATGTGGGTAAGCCAGTCCCCAGGCAGGGCTGTCAGTGAGCTCCAACAGTGTGCCGTCCCCTCGGGAGTAGCCGTAGGTCACTGGGGAGGCTGGGCAGAAGATCCGAAGTATACGTGGTTAGCAGTGCAGTGCGATCTTTTCTCACAAGGCCTGGGTCTGTGATGGAGGGGCTGTGCCTCTGTTTTGGTGGCCTGGGTCAGACATCTGTCTGCTAGATCCAGAACGCTTCCGCTCAAGCAGACCAAGCCAGATTTGAGTAGGCTTCCCATCAGCTCCACTTCCAGGGCCCCAAGGCCACCAGCTCACACCTGCACCTCTGTGAGTCTGGCTGCTGGTGGCTGCAGTGGTCCCGCTGCCCACCACACAACCACACCTACCATGTCTTGGGTCATGAAGCGCCACCACTAGGCCTTGCCACTCTGAGATCCACGGACTCCACTGCATTTAGAGATCCTTGCTCTGTAGCAGTGGCTCCAACTGACCTGCAGAGAAGACAGACCACAGAGCTCTTCAAGGACGCTGGGCTCCCCTTGTGGATGTATTCCTCCAAGACATGGGGAAAGGCACATGCTCCAGCCCCTCTTGTGGAAGGTGAGCAGGTCTCAGTGGTAAGTGCCCTAGAGCACCCCAATCCCCCTGAGCCCTCAGGTCATTCCCTCTGCAGTACACGGAGGTTGTTCTGGCATTTCAACTGCACTTAGCAAACCTGCCTTGTGGTCCATGTTTCAACCAAGCAACCAAACCCTGGGGTCCTTTCTAACTCCTCAGGCTGCAGTGAGTCCAGACCCTCTGTTAGTGGCCCTGTTCAATGGGTTTGGCCTCATGCGTCTCATATTCCTGCCACCTGGATCCCACACGTGTTCTCCAGATTTCTGTCTGCATGAGGGTCTTCTGGAGCACTGCCACTTCATCACGGGCCACACTTTGTACCTCACCCTTTGGGGCCTCCTGGGGCCTGAGTTTAGTTATAAGGCAAGCTGTGAGGTGGGGGAGCTGGTCCTGAGTATCCCACATGGACCCTGACCCAGGGGAAGCCCTTCCAGGTCTTTTAGGTAAAGAAGGACTGACCTCTTCAGGCAGGGACCAAAGGGGGCTTTTCTGGCAAAACAGCCAGTGCAACAAAGGGGTTTGAGGCCCCCAGCTTTCCTACCTGCCCACAACCTCCATCCCAATTTCCAGGGCCAACTTCCTTCCCAATCAATAGCCCAGCTTTGACGGCTGGGCCCAGCCATGCATGGAAGGAGACTGGGTGCACTGCCTACTTTGGTTGCTAATTCCCAGTTGCCCTGAGTGCACGGCACTGGCTGGGACTGTGTCATTGATGGCTGTGTCAGCCATACTTAATTCTGCTATGCTTTTCACCCTGAAGCCGCCCTTGCCATCCTTGGTCTTCCCCTCTTTGGGGTGGCACATCCTCCCATGGGTCCTGCGTTTGGCCTGGCCCTGAACCATGAGCTCTCTCTGCCTAGAGTTACCTTTGCCATCAGCCGTGGCCACCCTGCTTCTGCCGTGTTCTCTTGAAGGGTCCGGTCACTTCTTTCTACTGGTTCTGGCTTCAGCCCTGTGCATCAGAAGCTCCTGGCCATCCTTGGGTATAAGGAGCCACATGGAGTCAGCAGGACCTGGGGACCACATTCGGTACCCCCCATTGGACAGGGGTCAACTGTCCTGCCCATTGGAAAGTCTGAGGATGGCTCTCAGAGCTAACTCTAAGGGGGAAGCAGGGTGTCACCTTGGAGAATTTGTACTTTGAACCTGCAGGTTTGCAACTGGAAGTTTATTATAAAATAGTATCCCCAGGTTGGCCTCTCACCTGGACCACAGATGCCCAGGTGTCTGGCCCGGTTACTCTTTGTAAACTGCAGTCACTGTCAGACAGAGGCTGTATTTCACAAAAGGAAACATAAGCTGGGGCATCTGGGTGGCTCAGTTGGTTGAGTGTCTGACTTAGGCTCAAGTTATGATCTCACGGTTCGTGGGTTCAAGCCCTGTGTCGGGTTCTGTGCTGGCAGCTCAGAGCCTGGAGCCTGCTTCGGATTCTGTGTCTTCCTCTCTCTCTCTCTCTCTCTCAAAAATAAAGACATTTAAAAAAATTAAAAAAAAAAAAAAGGAAACCCAAGCCTTGTGAAGAAAATGAGGACTCCAAGGACTGGACACCTCTCGTAACTGGAGGAAGATAACTGTGACTGGTTGTCCTCAAGGGTCCTGATGCACGGTTACTACATGCCTGGGTCAGGCCAAGGCATGGGCTCCCACCTCCGTGTCCTCCACATGTCCTGACAAGGGAGTGGATGAGTCACTGCTAATCGGGTAAAGTGACCAGATGCTGATGCGCTGATCCCCGGACCCTGCAGCAAGCAAGCCATTGGCAGCGAAGGCCACACAGTGGACAGTAGCACTGTGGAAGGACAGTACAGCCAGTGGCTTCATTGTCCGCCAGTGAAACACACGGACACGATGGTCCCAGCCTGCAGTGGCCAGGATCTTGTGGTCTGGCCGGATCTTGACATCAGCAATCCCGGGATTGGTGAGTTCATGAGTTTTGCATACCTACAAGATCAAGAGCAGCAGAGAGAACCATGAAGTGGCTTTAGACTTGTCACAGGGGCTCCCACCTGTGGACATCCCCGGTCTGGCAGCTGGAACAGGGAGGGAAATGCAGGCTGCCAAGATGATTGCATGTTCCTATAAACTTACCCCCTACCTCCCAGGAGCTAGGCACAGACCTCCTGAGGGGAGCAGCCTGACCACTGCCCTTGGCTGGACCCTTGGGTTATGAGAGGAGAATTCAGCCCCTTCCCTCAGAGAGCCCTTGAGGCCCCACAGAGCTACTCTGCTTCCCTTTCTATCAGGCCCTCAGGAAAGACCTCAGTGGGCTGGGTCCTGGAGTCCTTCATCACAGAAATACACTGCACTCTAATGAAATGCAAGAGGCATTTCCTGCTTGATAGAAGAATAAAGTCTGCATTTCTCCCTTCTAGGGAAACTCACACCGACCCCAAAGCAAGAGGAGTACAAGAAACAAACTCCATCTTCAGCAAGAGGGGTTGAAGAGCCACCAAGAAGGGGAGCCAGTGGGTGCAGGTAGGAGGAGTGGGGGACAACAGGAAGGTGCAGGTCACAGGAGCACCTGCAGAGCCTGCCACACTGGCCATGGCTGAAACCTTAGTCCCTAGCCTGGTTCTGAGAAGGGGGCAGGCAAAACAAAACAAGGAGCTGCACAGACGCATTCTATCTGTGTTGAGCCATTGGAAGCCAACCGCTCTCTGGGGGCTGAGCACTCCCACAGTCAGTGCTGTGTGATGACCCCTCCTCGACACGTGCCTCCTGCAACAGGTAGGGATCCAGAGCTGCCTTTGTGGTCACAGGACCACTTGTGGTTATACAGCACTATCTCATGCATGGCAAGGCAATCTGGCATCTCTGTCCCCACACACTAAATGACAAAGGCACTCTGCCATCATTGTGACAATGCACAATGGCCACTTTCTTCTACTGATCCCATGATTGGTCTAGCCCTGTGCACCACAAGCTTTTGCTGCCCTGAAGTTTGCCGTCTCACCAGCACACCCTTTTCTCCTAATTCACTTCTTAATGGGGCCATAGCAGTCTTGGTTAAGAATTCCTCATCTCTGCAAAGATAAAACTAGGGAAAAGGAGGAAAGAAACATTTAAAAACAAATGGTAGGGGCACTTGGGTGGCTCAGTAGGTTGAGTGTCCAACTCTTGGTTTCAGCTCAGGTCATGATCTCACAGTTTGTGAGTTCCAGCCCTGTGTTGGGCTCTGTGCTGACAGCATGGAGCCTGCTTGGGATTCTGTCTCTCTCTCTCTCTCTGCCCCTCCCTACTTGCTCTCTATCTCTCAAAATACATACATACATACATACATACATACATACATACAAATGGTAATATTCCTTGGAAGCAAACAAATATTGCCACCAAGCATTTTTGCCATAATTTAACAAAACAAAACGTGATGAAGCAATCACCTCTATAAAAGAAGAACCCAAAGTAGCAAACACAGAGGGAGGAAAGCTGAACTGACAGAGCACAGGAAAGAAGTAGAAGAAAGAACTCAAAGAAATGAAGGGGAATGGGAACAGCAGAAGGAGACTGGAACTAGATAGGAAGAGCAGGAAAGATACAAAGTGAGCAAAATGAAAGAGAAACAAAGAGTTACAACAGACTGGAGAGAAAACAGCAGATGTAGAAGACAGGTGGAGGTGCTCTAACACTCAATGATTTAGAAAATCAATTCTAATTTCTAGAAATTGAGTCTTACAATCCAAATCCAAAGACAGGCTTCAGGATGGTCAATGTTAAGATATGCCTTAGGAAAATCACCAGACTGAGGGGGGAAAAATAAAAGCCCTTTGGTGGTCAGGCAAAAAGATCAAGTTGACTGTGAGGTAAGGTTTAGGCTGTCCTCAGAATGTTCCATGGACACATCTGTGGCAAAAGACAGAGAAGGCTGTGAGGGCAGGCACGGTCCAAGAATTTTATATCTAGCCAAACTGCTGTTCAAGTATAAAAACAATAGACAAGCATTTTTGAACATGTAAGGACTCAAAGAATATGTTCCCATAAGCTCTTCTTGAAGGACTGGAAGATTAACTCTAGTCTCATAAGAGATAACCAGAGAACTTTAACAGATGATCTGGCAGAGAGTAGGGAATCTACTTACCAGTGGGATTAGGTCTAAAACAATATGTGGATTATGGCTATAGAACTGGTTATGCAACTAACCGAAATATGGGAGGATACTGAGAGAGATGGAATTTTTGTTAAATTCATTGATTTGTTCATCTTTTGTCATTTGGGGCCTAAGATAAAATAGTCAACCTCATACTTGACAGATTATCTGACAACCCACTGTAAGTAATGACAAAAACAACATTACTTCCTTCCCCACCCTTGACACTAGGTGCCATGATTTCCTAGAACTTGCCCTTGTATTTCTCCATACAAATATACTCAACAGATTTATAACTGGATTACAAAGTTAAATCCAAATCTGTGCTATGTGTAAGAGAGACACCAAAAGAATGACTGGCAAAGATATACCAGGAGAGTGCACACAAGAGAAACAGGGGTACAGTGTCAGTAATAGGAAAGGTTGAATTCAGAGCCAAAAGCATGAAGACAGACTATATACCATACTTATCAATGATAAAGGGTACAATTCACAATGAAGAGCTATGACTATCTCTTTAAGAGATAAATAGGCATATCATTTATGAAGCAAGAACAACAGGAATGTGGCTTTGATGGAGTAATAACTGGTACCAGACCAGTCCTCATGCTATAAACAACTATCAAACTGGACAAAATATACCAAGCAACTGTGTCTAGGCAGTGGACAATAGGTGGGGAAGGGCAGCTGATGAGGTGGGCCTCTCAAAAACCCTAGCAGCAATCTGCCCAGGGAAATGTCCCAGCCATGAAATCTAGGTGGTGCACCTCTGTGCACATGAAGCTGAGGGGGCAGAGATCACAGAGTGGGGCAGCTAGAGCAGCTAAATCTGTGGGGTGAGCCAGCAGCATGGAGGGAACTGGGGGAGGGACGGAAGGCCATGTCTGGTTTCCCTATCCATCCTTGTGTGGAAGGCTGGGCTGTGCAAGCTCAGGACAGCACACGAGGTTTACCAGACAGTGGCTGCAGCAGGGTTAAATAGAATAGTTATAAGAGATTCAACAGTGATCTCCAGTGCATCCAGCCACAGCAAACACTGCCTGACATCCCAAGACCAACTGAGATGACACAATGGTCTTACTTCAGGAATGAGGAACATACCTTTGGGTAAGGCCTACCCTGGACCTACTGTAACAATGCTAGAGACAGAGCTCTACATGGTCTGAAGGGGAGGCAGAGTTTGGAAGGTGAGTTCCACCACTTCGGAGGAGCCTGGGAAGGACCTTGGGCTTTCCACATATCTGCCCTGACAGAGCATAATGCCAAACCTACATAAGTTCAAGGTCAACAGCCAGTAACTGAATTGCCTGCAATAACAAAAGTAAACACTCTTCAGCGCAAAAGACTAGACTATATTACAATGTCTACCATGCAAACAAAAAATTATTAGACATGCGAAGAAGCAGGAATATATGACTCATGGTCAACTGGAAAAAAAACACTAAATAGAAACTGACCCAGAATGACACAGATATTAGACATATCAAAGACTTTAAAGCAGCTGTTTAAATGTTTTTTAAAAAATGAAAGAAAATGCATTCAAATAATTACTAAAAATAATTGTCTTGATGAGTGAATAGACAGGAATTATTAGCAGAAAATGGGAGATTATATGGGGTGCCTGGGTGGCTCAGTAGGTTGAGCGTCTGACTCTTGATTTCAACCCAGGTCATGGTCCCAGGGTCGTGGATCGAGCTGTGTATCAGCTCCACACTGAATGTGGCGTGCTTAAGATCCTTTCTCTCTCTCTCTCCCTCTCTCTCTCCCCTCTCCTCTGCTTACACTCTCTCTCTCAAAGAAAGAAAGAAAGAAAGAGAGAGAGAGAGAGAGAGAGAGAAAGGAAATGCAGATTATAAAAAAGAACCAACCCAGAACAACCAACAATATTTTAAAGGAGACGAACAAAGTTGGAGACTTAACGTTACCTGACTTCAGGACTTACTCTAAAGCTACAGTAGTCAGGATAGTGTGGTTATTGATGAAAGAGACAGATTAAGGGAACAGAACAGAGAGTCCAGAAATAGACCCACATAGAGTCAACTTGTCTTTGACAAAGGAGCAAAGGAAACATAATGAAGGAAAAGACAGTCTTTTTAACAAGCAGTGCTGGAACAACTGGACATCCATGTACAAAAATATGAATATAGACGAACACCTTACATCCCTAATTCACAAAAAATAACTTAAAATGGATCACAGCTCTGAATATGAAACACAAGACTATAAACATCCTAAAAGATAACAGGAGAAAAACCTAGATGATCTTGGGTTTGGCAATGACATTTTAGATGCAACACCAAAGGTACGATCCATGAAAGAAAGAATTGAGAAGCTGAGCTTCACTAAAATTAAAATGTTCCTGCTCTGTGAAAGACAATGGCAAGAGAATGAAAAGACAAACCACAGAATGGGAGAAGATATTTGCAAAAGATGTATCTGATAAAGGACTGTTATCTAAAATATACGACAAACTCTTAAGACTCAACACTAAGAAAACAAACAACCTGATTAAAAAATGGGCCAAACACCTTAACAGACACTTCACCAAAGAAGACATACACATGGCAAATAAGCATAAGAAAAGTGCTTCTGTCATACATTCTCAGGGAAATGCAAATCAGAACAACGACTAGGTTAACATTGTATGTCAATTATACTTCAATAATAAAAATTAAAAAAACCAACATCAGTGAGATACCCACTACACATTTGTTAGAATGGCCAAAATCCAGAACACTGACAACACCAAATGCTGACAAGGATGTGGAGCAACAGGAACTCTCATCCACTGCTGGTGGGAATGCAAAACTCTACAGCCACTTTGGAAGACAGCTTGGTGGTATCTTACAAAACT